TATGATATATAGGGAGTTCACAAGGTGTTGTATACTGTCGTACTGTTGTATGTCATAAACTTTAAGCGGCTAAAACTATATTTAAGTAATTAGCAAGATAACATAAAAGTTTTATTATGAAATTTCACACAATTAAAAAATAGTTGGTGGTGATTTCAAGTCCTCTAAGCATTTATTTAGTCGATAAAAACTTTACAACACACAACAATACGACAAGTACGACACCTTGTGAACCACCCAATATTTTCTCGACAATGCGCGTATAGCACAGATGGCTTCTACGTGCAATTCTAAGCAAATTTTCCGAAGAAACCATGTGTCTAAAATCAATTTGGAATTTTCCAAATTGCGAAAAGAGGTTTTTTAGCATTTTGCTGTATATAGGGTCGTAATGAAAAGGAAAAATGAATCCATTTCTGCACTTATTGTTTACGTAAAACGTTTGCCAGAGGGCGCGACAGTAAACATTTTCACATTTCCTTGAAACCAATTTTTGCAATTTGGCAGACTTCACTGTTGACAGTTACAATTTCGAGAAAGTAGAGAATTTCGTTTACTTGGTAACCAGCATTAACACCGATAATAATGTCAGCATTGAAATCCAACGCAGAATCACTCTTGCCAACAACTCCTACTTTGGACTGAGTAGGCAATTCAGGAGTAAAGTCCTCTCTCGACGTACGAAAACCACGCTCTATAAGTCGCTCATCATGCCCGTGCTGGTATACGGCGCAGAAGCATGGACAATGACAACATCCGATGAGGCGGCTCTTGGAGTGTTTGAGAGAAAGATTTTGCGGAAGATTTACGGGCCTTTACGCGTTGGCCGCGAGTACCGCAGACGATGGAACGATGAGCTGTATGAGCTTCACAACGATATGGACATAGTGCAGCGATTTAAAATACAGCGGCTCCGCTGGCTTGGTCATGTCGTTCGAATGGACACCGACGCTCCAGCTCTGAAAGTATTCAACTCGGAACGCGCTGGTGGTAGCAGAGGAAGAGGGAGGCCTCCACTGCGATGGAAAGATCAGGTGGAGAAGGACTTGGCTTCACTTGGCGTTTCCAATTGGCGTCAGTTGGCACAGAGGAGAAACGACTGGCGTGCTTTGCTAAACTCGGCCAAAATCGCTTAGGCGGTTACACCGCCAAAAAAGAAGAAGAACAAGCGTAGTAGAATTTGGGTACAAATTAATATTATTATGAAACATTTGGAAAAGGGGCGTGGTATTTATTTTTAGGAATTTTCAATGACAATACAGTTTATTTTCTAACAAAACCCATATAAAACCAAGTTTTAAACTTTGTAAAAGACTGCCAAAAAAGTGTAATAAATTTTCACTTAAATTTCAAACTTTTTTCTCAGAAGTGTTAGAATTTTTATGAGCAAGCAGTTTTATAATTCAAATTATTTATAAATCAAAGGCATCAGGGGCTCTATTCTGTAACTGTGCGTTTTCAAGTGTACACTGAAAATTGTGTGCACTCTTCATTTTGCGATTCAGCATGTGTGAGAATGAGTTTTAACTGTCAAAATTGTGTACACTTCTCTTCCGAAAAACTCACTGAATTTTTGTCGGTGAGTTTTTGGCTGTGAGTTTTGCACCCGGTGTACACTACATTCTCTCACAGTTACAGAATAGAGCCCCAGATCCGTAACGTTCGTTCGATTTTCAAAAATTAGGTGTCAAATGTAAGTGAAAATGTGCATGTCAGTTAAAGTAACTTAAGAGACTTTCAAAGGTTTGCCTTTGAATGGAAAAATAAGTTTCCCTTAAAAAAGTATATTTTTTTAAGTTTCTTTTAAGGGGGAACCTTAAACTATGTAAACCTATGGCTAGTTGATCGTAAAAATATTGTTTGGGCTTAAGCTAGTTTTAATGGCGCGCACAGATGTCAAAGTTTACTTTGTACAAGTTTCTAGATCGAAAGGATTAAAGGTTTTGTGCAATTTTTTGTCCATATTTCCATTTTTTGGGGTTAAAGGTCATTGTATTCCATTATTATCATTTAGGGTATGTATTCCCTTAAGCGCGAATTGTAGAGAACTCGAAAACCTCGAAAGTTTATGGGCTGTTTTTGGGAATGCACTTTTTTGCAACCTCGTAAAGAATGGCGGAATTCAGAAATTTGGCAATTCAGTCAGAGTTTCTTTGTATAATACATGGTATCAGTTGAAGTAAATATAAAACCAAAACATTCAAAATACCACGAAAAAGTGAAAAATGTAAATTGTGTGAATTAATATACCAAAATGGAACACTGAAATTTACGAATTACATTTCGAAGGCGTTTTCGCGCCTAGTTTGCCTCAAAAGTTTTCGAGGCTGGAAAAGTTTCGATTTTTCTGTCATTTTCGAGTTAAGGATACCCTAATCAAGGCACATTAATACAGGTAGAAGCCAAAATGACGTTGCTCTCATGAGAACCAAACCTTTAAACTTCAACTTGTTTTTCTTTTATTTCCTATATTTCGTTACGCTTTGAATGTCATATCGTTGTTTTTTTTTAATGTTCGTTAATAACAAATTTTAATTAACATGTGAATTTGAGTAGTGTTGTGCGGTTTATACTTAGTGTATGTGTTAAAAATGCAACACCTGAAGCGTTGTTTTTTATGTGGTTTTAAATATGAAGCAGATACCACTAATTGTTTTTAACGTGCCTCAATGTCCTTCGCGTAAAGAGCGTTGCGAAAACAGCTTTGGGGCAGAAATGCCTTGCTGTGCGTTAAACATTTTAAAGCAGCAGATTTCATAAATGCACCGGGAGGTACAGGAAAGGCACTTTTGATACCAAGTGCTGTTCCTATGACCCTTATGCCGGAAAGTCCCTCCAACTCATAAATTAAAAACAGAAAACAACATACAAATTAACAAATTTTAACTAAAGAAAAAAAATAAAAACAAAACTTCAAATTTACTCAAAAACGTCAACCAGCGAAATGTAATTTTTTATTTTTCCTTACACACGCTCATTTTTATTTTTACTCTCCCGAAAACTTTGACTTTTGTAGGTTTGATGTCAATTTGGCTTCTACCTGTGTTTATTGTACCATGACCCTAATTGAAAAAATAGTACATCAGATAGTAGTTTGCCGAATAAGAAAAATAAAATAAGGAAAATAAACAAGAAGTGAGATTTTACGATAAACAAAAATGGAGTTAGATTAAAAAATAAAGCCTTACTTTAAATAAAGAAAATTTGAAAACGGCAAAAAAAACAATAGAAACATAGGCAAAGGGATTAATAACGAAATAAGGCGATTTACATAATATGTATTATGTGGTGAAGTGTGATGATGATTTACAAAATCAACTACTAAATCAACTACTATGTAATTACTTAAAGAAAATACAAATACAATGCACGAGTATGCACGTATGTAAATAGTAAGTACATATATACATATCCATGTATGGATGTTAGATATACATACACATATGTAGATCCGGCATGGGCAGGCAACAAATATCGCTGGCTTAGAGTGAAAAGTTTGATAATTACACCTTTTATGGAAACTCATATTTTGATAGAAGAAGCAAGGGAAATTAAAAATGCTTCGTTTCATAAAGCATTAAGGTACATATAGTCACCTGAAATGCAAAAAGAAGTAACATCATCGTAAATGAAATGGAAAAAGTCGTGACTAATATTTTAATTTTTTTTTATAAAATGATGTGGGGATTTGTATTTCGATGGAAACCATAATAAAAATCAAAAAGTGAATTTTGAATTTTTTATTAGTTACGTCTTTTTGCATTTCAGGTGACGATATGTACTTGTTTTATTCTTTCTAGTTTATATTCAACAAAATGCAAATTTGCTCCATAAGGGGCAGCGAAAAACCGATAAGACTAAAGTATATAATATGAAATATTTTTATAAAGAACGAAATCTTCTGATTCGTATAGAGTATAGAGTATAGAGTTTAATTGTGTATTCAAAGTTTTGCGAAATACTTGAAGAAAATGACTATAAAGAGGTTTTTCCTCACCTATAAAATTGGTGAAAATGGACTTAGCAACTCTTCACTCCAAGCTAACGATGTGTACATGGCTATGAGGGTACAAAGTTGAAGGTAAAGGAGCTGATGATGGCGAAGGCAAATGAATGTGCGTATATATGTACATACATACATGTATATATGTAAGTATATGTATATAATTATGCAGATAGATATGAATAGGTGCACACTATAGTGTATCTATAAATTCAAAACTGTGTGAGAGTGAATGAAGGAAGAATGATGAAAATTAGCTTAACTAAGGTGAAAGGGCCTGCTGGGCAAGTAGGTATAAAGATGGAGCGATAGAGTTCCATATAATTATGTACATACATATATATATATATGGAAATATGTATGAACCACTGAATAAATGCAGTGACAGACAAATGGAAAACAAGGTGATGCATGTAGATATGTATGCATGTAAATTTGCAGTAAGGTGATGAAAGTGTGATGTAAAATGATGTTTTTGTGTTGATAATGCCACAGAAGCAAAGATAGAAATGCTAATACAGGAATTAAAAAACACACACACGCACACATCTACACGCCATGCCTTTTGAATGCATGTTCATGTGGAGATGTGTGTGAGTATTGTCATCCACATTTTTTTGTTTTCAGCTTCAAGGAGAGGCACAACCGCAATAGCACAGCGCTGCCACAGCCACATTTGGCCCACATGGCGCCAGCACAACCCCGCCGCTGCTCCGACGTACGGCCTTGCAAAGCGTAGGAATGCAGGCGGGCCGGTGGTGACTGCCACAAGGTGCATCAAAGTTGAGCTGAGCGCGGCTCATTCGCGCATTGCGCCTCGACCAGGGTTGCCACTGACAAAAAAAAATATTTACCATCGACTTGAAAAAAATCTACCAAATGTGGGAAATATCTACCAATAACTTTTTTATAATTATTTAAATAAAAACTATAGTTCTATTATTTTTTTATTTATTTCAATTAAAACTTNTCGACGAACACATACAATGACACTCACCTGCACAAGTACTTTTCTTGTTGTTTTTGTTTTTGGGTTGCTTGAACTGCCGTTCCTTTTCGCTTCTGACGCTGTTGCAACTCCCCAAAATCGGCAACCGTATGCGTACGTGCGTTTATGTGCGTTACGCGTGACCTGAATGCGTTGATACACTTCCTCAACAATGAAGTCGCTTCCCGCTAGAATTTCTCACACTTTTAACTAATATTCAGCTTAGCGGCCCCTTCACTAAATTTGTATACTACTTCACTGTTAAGGTGACACACACAATTACAATAACATCAAAAAACTGTTTTCACAATATTTTTTTCTTTGAATTATGTATTTAGCAAGTTGTTGTTTTGCTGTTTTTGTTAATTGTTGATTAACAAATCTGTTTTTTTTTTGTACCTATGCGTATATTTTTGTTTTTTTTTTCTTTATTCCTTTTAAACCGCCGTCTTTCGTTTCAGCTGGTATTCCGAAGTTCTCTTTTTTCTCTCCCTTTTCCCACACGAAAAATCAATAATTTGCTTGTTCACCTTCTCGCTAATGATTTTTCTTTAGCGTTTTTTATATTTCTCGATTTCGTTTGCGTTTATTCTTTGTATTGTTGTTAAGAGCGTTAATTACCGCCTTGGATGTGAGCACGAATTCGTTGTTTCCGGTTATTTTTCGTAGGTTTTTATAATTGATACACTTTGATAAGTTGGATAATATTTAATTGGTCTGACTCAGTACAACAAATGTGCCACTTAGCTGTGCTTAGCCCCTCTACAACACGACGGAAACAAAACACAACCGTTCGCTGCGACGTCAAAATTGCCAGTGGAGCATTGGCAGCTCGGCCAGCGTGAACAGCACGCAGCAGTTGGAGCTGTCAATGTGCATGGAAATAGTGATGTTAACACCTGTGAATTTTCCCCTTCTGTGGGAGTTTTTAATTAAAAATGAGCTAAAAGCGAAAAAGGTATTTGGTTTTGTATATAGTACAAAAAGAGGTAGTTTTGTAAGTGGCTCAGCTGACATAGAATTCTGATTTTACAAAAATGCATGTTAAACCAAGGAGCAAATTCCTCGAAAAAGGTGCAAGATTTGTAGAAATTTAGCACGTTACAGAAAACTTGCTGGATTTTCCTTTCGAAAGTAAGAAAATGGATACCCCTTTGAGGTGCTTTTCTTGTCTTGAGGAGTTCTTTTTTGAAGTCGATTAATAAAGAAATTAGTTTTTAGTAATTTTAATCAGCCTTACCCTGAGTTTCGCCTGAAAAAAAATTCGACCGAAAATTTTACATCCGCCCATAGTACAACCATGGAAACCAAAAGTGACAAGTGAACCGGTTCGGAGAAAATGAAACTCATGATAAGGCCAAATATTAATTTTCCAAGAGAAATTCGAATTAATATGCAATCGAATTAATTCAGCAAATCGACATTATCGATATAGAGCAGAAACCAGAGTCCCAAAGATCTCCAATCAGCTGTCTTATTTTGTTACAAGTCGATTTTGGCAGTTCTCGTTAATCCACATCAGTGTTGTTGGTAGACTTAACCTAAACAGGGGACAAGTTGTGGCCTACACTGAACAAAAAGCTGTTGGTTGAGTGAAAAAAGATTTAAAATCTCCTTCCTTTCAACATTAATTTACTGCAGTTGATTATCATTTGCGAAAAAATAAAATTAAACTACCTTATCGTGAGTTTCGCCCGAAAAAAAAATTACCCCAAAAATTTTCATCCACCCATAGTAAATACATGGAAACGAATAGTGAACCGGCTGAAAATCTACGTCTTGATTAAAATCATATACACAACACTGTTTTGCAATCGCAGGCAGGCATTTGGGCCCTAACCGATTCGAATTGGAATCCAAAAGGAATGGATGCTAATGTTGCTGCAGCAGCGCGATCTGTCGTGCAAGAATTCGTAAAATTAGAGGAAAGGCTGAAACAAAAGGTGCAGCGCGACATCTAGCGTTGAGGCGTAGCAGTTTGTTAGAAGAAGCAAATTCTCCGCGGCGGAAATCAAATGGTGTCCCACCGGAAGTAAGATTGACCGGAAAAGCAACATTGATTATCTCTCATCGCACCATTTGACAGGAAAAGTTTTTAATCAATAATTGACAATAACCGCACCGCTGCTACTAGGCACTAGGTTTTTGTAGTATGTGGCATCTCTTAATTTTTAACCCTTATTCATATATGTCAGTTCATAAAATCGCTTAGCTTGTAAAAATCAAAATTTTGTAGAATTTTTGCGATAAAAAAATCTTTCCAAACCCTGGGGATGTCTATAGTTTGTAAGTAGAATTAAATAAAGAAGGGCTCATTATGTTAATATTTTAAGGACCCCCCTTAATGTGTAAGAACATATTTATTTAGTTAGTATTCCTATAGTAAAGGTCATAATACAGGCAAATTTTAGGATGTTAAAGAAGGAAGGAAAAGTATTTTATTAACTTAGATTTAATAATACTTTATATGAATAATTATTTACATTTTTATGCACTTAAACCTTTTTAAGTAACTAATAACTTATCTTAAAAACGGTGTACTGTAAGCAAAAACAAATTTACACACCAAAAGCTCAAACAGATAAAAAGCTTAATTTATAATACTTATACATAAATACTCGTATAATAATTCTTGTGTGAACATACATAACTACAAAGAAGGGCATATTTAGAAAGCTACATAAGCTCCCTATATATGTACACACATAGATAGAAAATCTTAGACAATGTTGCTCAACATGTTGCTACTTACCAATTTGTTGCTTGGCCATTCAATATGCCACCTATGCCACTCATACATTTAATACAGTTTGTGTTGTTGTTGCTGCACCCTAAATGGCTATTGGCTGTAGCCATACAACCATCCCAAGCATGTCCTGGTTCCGGCTCATATGCAGGATTTATTATTCCTTCGAGACGGCAATTTAAAGCAGACATTTTACTTAGGACGCCGAATTTTGTAGTTTTTGTTGCACTGCACTGCACCGAACTATTTTTTGGACGCATTATTTTGTGAGCGTTATATTTTTTTTTGTTGCAAGTTGATTTGTTTTTTCTTTTTTATAATTTTTGTAAAACGATCGTATTGTCCTTAAGAGATTTTGTACTTCTTTCACTTCTGCTTTTCAGTTTTTAACTTTTAAGTAGCATTTCCAAACATATATACATACATACATATAATGTATTAGATCGCACCACCTTACATGCAAACAAAAAATCCGCCGCACACTCGTGAGTCTAAAGTATTTTTACAAAACAATTTTCAAAAAAAAAAATTTACCGAACCTACAAATTTTGTTCATATCCGAGCACACTTCTGCACAAAGGTATTATAACTTTGTTCCCATAACAGTTGTTTGTAACAGCCTGAGGGAATCGAGATAGATGCAGACATACATATACATAAATGTATGTATCTCAAATCGGTCTGAATGAAAAAAGAAATTGATTAAACCATGTCTGTCTGTCCGTCCATCCTTGCGTGCGCGCCATAACTCGAGTAAAATATCAGATATCGTAACAAAATTAGTTACATAGGTTGGCCCTTTAAACAAGGTAGGCCGGTATTGAAAATGAGTGAAATCGGACAATAAACACGCTCACCTCCAAAATAACGGTATTTTCGAAATAATCCAAAACTACGATATTTCCGCAGCCAAATTGTTGAAAATTGAAATGCGAAGTGGAATTCTGATATGAAATAAAACAATTATGGAATTTTTGGAAAATAGGTGTGATACCGCCAACTTACCGAAATAAGATAATTCACTAAAACTAGATATTTGCAATAACCTCTTAGCAAAAATTTCTATTATCATAAATTTGTGGAAAATGGGCGTGGCACCGCGCGCTTATGGCTACATACATGTGTATGTGCATCTCGGTAACAGATTTATCAACAATAATTTTTCACTTAAATTGCTGACGAAGCCGGCTGTTAGTTTCGCCTGGCGGTCCCAACTGGCGCTAGTTGACGTGCTTTATTGGGTCGAGCTAACTGACTTTTTCAAATGAGTGTTCTCTACCCGTGCCGGGCCCGACGGCTCAAGTGCGGCGCGAGTTTCGTTGTATGCTAAGCTTAGGCCGTTTATTCCCTCCAGTGGATAAGACGAGCGCCGTCTTATTAGAGTTAATATCAAATCCATAGGCAGGGTGTTTGTTCGTAAGGCATCGTTGGCGATGATGGTTATGAAAACAGACATAAAAAATCTATTACAGATTACTATCCCAAGTTTTCGCATAAGGGCCCTTCTATATTTGATTGGTTTAAAGTAAAACTGGACATAAGTTTATGAGAATTGAAAAACTGAATATACATTTTTGTTAATTAACAGTCATGGCCACGGTTGCTATTTTGGCCGACATGTACTACTTTTGGTAGGCGTGAGGTATCCTACCTCTAGCAATACCATATGTCAATGAGGCTTGCCAGGGCGCCTTACTTCTCTGAAACTATGTAAATGAGCAATAGCAGTGGAAGCCTTTAAGAGCTTGATGATCCCGTCATCACACAGCTCACAGACATTACAAAACACAAGGTAATAAATAGTTACAACGATTGGCAAGGACTCATCAGTCTCACTTAAAAAAAAAAAAGTCTCTCTATTCAAAGAAAAAAAAACGAAAATTTCATAAGTGGGGTTGGTGAAACAATCAACTATTCATGTGGCTCTCTGATTTTCGTTTTTTTTTAATAAAAAAATATTTTTTTTAGGTGATGCTGATTAGTTCTAACGCGTCCGGGCCTGGTGTCAGGCAGCATAAAAGTCCAGGACTCTTTCAAAGCTACATCAAGGCTTTGGACAACTGGAAAACACTCTATTAAACTAATTAATTTATTATGTTGCAGCACTATGAAGTCGTTCGCGAAACACTCGAAAATTTTGATTTAATAATTATATAACCAATGTGTATTTGTAAAATATTTTAATAATGAAATCTGAAGCTAACATATATTTTGATATATGTTTTACATTTTGCTACACTTTTTGGTACACAAAAAAAAGGAAGTATGTAAGTGGTAACCGTGAACATGGCATATGAAGATGCGGCTAATATAAAAAAAATGTATCCATATACTCTAGGATACATAAATATGTATGTATGCATAATTATACTCCTTTTAAAAATAAATAAAAATGTGGCAATGAAAATAAGGACATTTGTAGATTTATAAATTTTTGCATTTGCATGATTATTTTGAGGCAAATCAAATTGTTAAAACTTTTGGTGTGCTTATTTAGTTTGTTTATATTTCATAACGCCAGCTTATAATTATACCTTTTTAATAATGCAAATATTGGTGCAGCTTTTTTTGTTTAAAATTTTTATTTTAGTTTCTTGGTTTTTTAGCCAAATGTATTGTATATACATATGTACATATGTGTGTACATGCGTTTTTTTTTTTTAAATCCCAATTTTTTTGCACAAATTCAAATTCTATTAATTTTAGCTTTATTAAATAAACTTTATTTTGGATTTCGGTTTTGGAATAACAAGCGTTTTTCAGTTTATTTTGCTTAGTATTCAAAATTAAAGTTCACTAAAGTAGACTCAACAAAATACTTATGAATATTTTGTATTACTTTTTTAATTTTTTTATTTTAAGTAGATATTAATTTGTTATGGTTTTTTATTTATTTTTTTTTCGTTTAACAAAAATTTGCCCCGTTTCAGTTTGATCCGTCACCAAAAAGCTCGATTTCTAAACTAATTCCAATTTAACTGATTTCACCAGCTTAGCTCACAGGTGGCAAAAAATACATATTAAGCCCAATATAATTCTAGTTAATCAGCTGGCACCCCGACAAACGCTCAGCTTCCGAATTTAAACGTGTCTAGTGA